CTCTCTCTCTCTCTCTCTTTATATCTCAAAGACTGCAGGTGTATGTTTTGACCTTATTTTCAAAGTCTGCCTGCAGCAGGTTTTACTCCGTTGATCCCAAAAGGAGGGGCAAAGATTCCTTCACTATCAGATTGCCCGGCTTGTTCTCTCGGATGTCTACATGTCTAGGTAGCCATGCAAACACACAACGCTTTCCCTGTTCAGTCAAGGTGTGAATTGACCAAAAGTGAGTCGATTGCGCCGTAAAACACCAACTCAAACAAACAAACAACTCAAGTGGTGAATCCTCAACTGTAGTTTAACTACAGTCAGAACTGTCTAAGACGGACACCCATTGTCGAGGATAAAAGTGGCCGCACTGGACAGGTGGATGTTTTACAGGGTGCCAACAAATATATTAAAAATACGCAAGGACGGAGAGAAGAATTAGCCGCTTGTACAGGAGGGTGCCGTAGCGGAACGGGTTATAGTGAGCTCGTCTCCAAAACGGAAAGTCCGGGTTCGAGCCTCGGTTCAGACACAGATTTTTTTCGTCCTCTCCTGCCCACACAACAGTAATGGGTACCTGACTTCGAGCTGGGGAAGTAAAGGCGGCGTGGAAAGGAACTGGCCACCCTACCATAATATACCGAAGGCCCAGGAAGTTGTCTCATTAAAGAGGCAATCCCCAATGTCCGGATCGGATGGGGGGAACAACTTTACAGTTGATTGTTTTATACAAGCTGACGTTTGAGAAGGTTCGACTGTATTTTTCAGGTTTTGTGGGATGAAATCGGTGAGTGAAGTGAAGCAGGACAAGGAATAGGCAACAGAAAGAGAAAAGATGATTTGGACAAATTTTTAGGAGTCCATTGTCATGTCAAAGTGGAAGTATAAAAATAAAAATTGTATAAATTCTAAACAACACTTTGAGGCATGTGTTTAAATCCTCCTTCCAGGAATACCCACCAACTCGTTCCAAAGAGACTTCCCTACCGACCCCTTCATCAACAGCCAGATACAAACTTTGATCAAGACTTGTGAAGCTGACAGAAGCAGGTGAGTCAAAGTTGTTTATTTACTCTCTTCTGTCTGCCTGTCTGTCCGTCTGTCTGTCACACAATCTCTCTCTCTCTCTCTCTCTCTC